AAGGGGGAAACCCCAGCCAAGAATAGGGTAGAAAACTTGTGTTAGGATCCCTGCGGGGCCCTGCTCACAGGCTGTGCCCCCATGCAGATGGCAAGGCTGTGGGGGAGCCCCGCTTCTACCTCCTGAGCAAGGGCAGCACGGAGACTTTTGGCTTCTACCTCAACGAGGAGCTGGGCTACCAGGGCCATATCATTCGTCAGGTCGAGCTGGGGGGGCTGGCCCAGCGCAGGGGACTGCAGGATGGGGACCGGCTCCTCCAGGTCAATGGCCACTTCGTGGACCACATGGACCATCACAGGGTAAGATGGGGGCACCCCAGGGCTGTGGGAACTGATGGGTCCTCCCTGGCCAGGGATCCTGATCCTACAGGCTGCAGTTGGAAGGGTGCCCTGCCCAGGGCTCACAGCCTGGGTCCTTCCAGGTGGTGCAGAAGATCAAGGCCAGCGGGAACCAGGTCCTACTGTCAGTGTTGGATGGTGACTCCTATGAAGCAGCCAAGGCCCTAGGCAGGGACCTGTCCCAGATGCTGCCAGCTGACATCCGCCCGCGCCTCTGCCACATCACACGGGACAAAAGTGGTTTTGGCTTCAGTGTGTCGGGTCCGGAAGGTAAAGCAGTGGGATGGCAGCACCATGAGCCTCCCTGACACAGCATCCCGCTCGCCCCAGGCTGCCTCTTCTCTTCCCTGCAGGAGTGAAGGGCACCTTCCAGCTGTCAGTGCAGCAGGATGGGCCAGCGGAGAGAGCAGGGGTGCCACCAGGCTCCTGGCTCCTGGAGCTGAACGGGGCCAGCGTGAGCAACTACTCACACACGCAGCTCACCAGAAAGGTGCGTGCTCCCAGTCCGGGTGATGGGGGACCAGCGCCACCAATGTCGCTGAGTGACCTGTGTTTCCCATCCAGCTGAAGCAGAGCGGCAGCAAGGTGATGCTGCTGGTGGCATCCAGTGCCGTGGAGGAGTTTTACCGCCTGCATGGCCTGCGGGTCACGGCTGCCTTGGCAGACACCTCCTGGCTCCCCTTCAAGGTCCGGGAGCTGCACATGGTGAAGGGTCCGGCTGGCTACGGGTTTCTGCTCAAGGAGGGTGACTGCAGCTCAGGGGCCACAGGTAAGGGGGCTGTGGGGGCCTGTCTGAACCTGAACAAGGCATGTCTAGGGGTCAGGAATAGCTGCAAGCCCTGTGCCCAAAGCAGGACCTTGTCCCCACCTGCATGGGGAGTCAGCAGTGCCAGCTCCCCTCTGGCTGAATGTCTCTGTGAGCATTTCCCCACCCTCCCGCTGTCCTGCTGTGGCAGGCCAGTTCCTGTGGGACGTGGATGCAGGGCTGCCAGCTGACCAGGCAGGGATGAAGGAAGGGGACCGTCTCCTGGCTGTGAATGGTGAGAGCATCGAGGGGCTTGACCACCAGCAGACGGTGCTCAGGATCCGTGCCCGTGATGACCAGGTGACACTGCTGGTCATCGACCCTGCTGGTGATGAGTTCTACCACTCGGTAGGTTTTGGGGAGCCCTGGGGTGCTGTGAGGCTGAATGATGGGATGGATGCCTTCCCCCAGAGCCTGCACAGTGAGGTCCTCTCCAGGGGACCTGGCTTGCTATGGAGCGTCAGCAGCTGTATGCTGTCCCTCTTCTGCTCTTCCAGATCGGGCTGTCCCCTCTGCTTTCCTTTGAGCACAGTGACCCTGCTTCAGGCTCCCATACGCCCTCCCTGCCCTCTCCCAGTGTCTCCCCGGGCCTCTGTCATGTCGAGGTGGGACCAAAGGGACCTGGCTCCTGGCTGGTGGCTGCTGCCAACAGTATAGTGATCACACAGGTAAACCCCTCTTGCCAGGCCCTCATGGCAGTGCTGCTCTTAGTCCTGGTACTCTCCTACCCTGCCTGTCCTATTATTTCCCTGGCACCTCTGACACTGGCAGGAGCAGAAAGACACCTCCAACCTGCCCATTGGGCCAGGGTGGAATGTGGTGTGGTGGATGGATGGATGTGCTGCTCACAATGTGCCCACCGTGTCCCCACAGAGCCCATCCCAGGAGCAACAGAGGAGGCTGCAGCAGGCATTCTAGTGACCCAGGAGTACTCTGATTCCGACCAGGCTCCTCTGCACAGCACCTCATCCAGCCCATCAGTGGCCCCGTCCCAGCTCCCTGGAGAGCACAGCACTGCTCAGCATGGCCGTTGCTGTCGTGGATATAGCTCGGGTCATGCACACAGAGTTGCTGTGTCTCTGTGCCTGCAATGGGGTTTGCAGCACCACACCTCCAGAAACTCATCTCCATTGACTGAGGCTGGATCCAAGCTTTTATTAACTGTGGTGATGGTTTCTTGTAACCTGAGACAGATTTTGCCTGCCTAGCTGCTTCTAGGGATATCTAGGGACATTGCACTGAAGGCCTTGCCCAGCTCCAGGCTCTGGGAGCTCCAAGGAAAGCCAAGGCACTGCCCTCCATGCCATGACTCAGCGGACTGGGGATCCTGAGGCTTGCCTCAGCACAGAGCTGGCCTTCAGGCCACTGTTTGAAGGAGAAAGGGAGCAGCAAAGGCCAACGGGGTGCTGGAGGAACCCCCCCACCTCTCAGCCTGTTGGCTCAGGTTTGTCTCTGCATGGATGTCTCTCTTGCGCTCTTCCTCTCATCCTTCCTGAGAACCCGTGGGCAGTGAGTGTCCACCACCCATCACAGCACTGTTCCTGCATCACTCGTCTGGGGTGTGATTAAAGGACAAACCACACTGCTGTTCATGTGAGTAGTGTTATGGAGAGGACTGTGGCTCAGCAGTGCATCCCAGGGCCAGACAGGACCTGTCTGCTCTTACCTAGCCCAGGGCTGCTGGAGTGTTGAACAGTGGATGTGGAAAGCTCTCCAAGATTGCTGATAGGGAGGTAGGGGCTGAGAGCTTGTCCCGTCCCAGGAGCCCCAGAGTGCTGTATCTCCAAGGGGTTGAGGCTGAACTCTTGCAGGTGCTCCTTGTGCTTCATGGCGATGGTCATTCCTACTTCTTTCCAGTGCTGGCTGGCCTCTGCCATCTTGGCCAGCACAAGGTCCAGGCTACCTGGGTGGCTGTGGGGTGTTGGGACAGAGGCAGGGGATACTGAGCATGTGGGCACATGAGCCTGGCACTGCATGACCAGTGCATGGGAGGACAGGAGCAGTGTGCAGCATAGCCCCTGCCCAATGCCCCTCATCCCCTGGGGTGGCAGAGGGCTCTGGGACAGGGGTGAGATCACAGCATCACCTTTGCAGTCAGTATCTCCCAAGGTCAGGGATGCACTGAGAACAGGGCTGGGCTTTGCCTTCAGCTGCTGCCATGCTGACAGTACAAGGCAAATTACTCCTGTCTTCCCTGGCTCCCCACCAAGGGCACTGGCTCAGGGCAGGCATGCTGGGAGGGCATACTGAGCTGCTCCTGTAGGCTCTTCACCTTGGCCTTCGAGCACTGGCTGTGGGCTGCTGTCTGCTTCTGCAGCTCCTGGTGTTGTCAGGTCATTTCTGGGAGCCAGGAAAAGGAGAAGGGGACAAAGGTGGTGAAAATAGGAGGGACAAGCAGGCGGTTGCTGTGCTCTGATCCCAGCACCTTTGACGAGGCAGGGGCTCCCCTTGCAGGGTGACACATCAGAAGCAGCTGTCAGTGCCTGCCTGGCAGGGCTGTGACAATGCCGGGGGCAGGGGGAAGCCCTGGAGGGAAAGTTTTACCTCTCTGTTGAGCGTGGGAGAGTGAAAATGAGCAGTGAGTTTTGCATGTGGCAAAGACCGCAAACCTCTGGCTGAGGTTTTACCTCTGCTAAAATCAGCCCCTTCTTGAGCACTGATGGAAATGGCAAGGCAATGACTTTTGGAGGCAGGGAAGTCTCTGTCTGTGCTGATTACAGGCATATGGGGTGCAATGAGTCCATAACCAGAGCCTTTGCATGCTGACAGCATGGGAGGCAGAAGGGCTAAGCCAACAGCAGGCTGGTTTGGGGCTGAGTGGTCAAGGCCAAAGGGAAAGATGGGGTAAATTTGTCTGGCTTCTCCCAGCAGAACCAAGGTCTGAGGTCCCTGCATGTGTCCCACTGCCCCCTCCCACTTCTGCCCTCACCTTCATGAATGTCTCACTTGTCTTTCTGTGCCTGCTCCAGTGCCTTCTCCAGGTCCCACAGCCTCTGCCTGAGCCCTTCATTGTCAGCTTTTGCCTGCCAGGTCATGTCCCTCCAGGGAACTGCAAGCCAGTGACGCACAGGACTGCCATGGGGACAATGCACTTCCTGCCAGGTGACCCACACCACAACTTGGCCTGAGCACAGGCAGTCAAAGGGCACCATCCGAATCACACTGGATGGCTGTTCCATGCCCAGTACCTTCTCGGCACTTTGGACCACCAGTGATTTGTTCCTAGCCTTTCTCTACTCCCAAAGCCAAGGGGATGTGGACACCTCCTCAGTCCATACCTGGCCCCAAGCCTTGCCTGAAAGAGGGTCAATCTCATAGCAAGAAACCTCCCCTTTGTTTCAGCCCAGCACTGCGCTAAGGAAGTACTTCCAAAGGGGTGCCCCACTGCAGCATCCCTAGCACCTCCTGTCTGCTTTCATCTATGCTCCTCTCTTTCTCTGCCATCTCTGCACCACTACTGACATCTGTAAGCAGCTGCTGGCTGCACACCATGGACTCTCAATACAGCACAGGCACCCCCAGGGCTGGAGCCCACAGGCAGGGGGCTCATGCCATCCTCTGACATGACGTGGCACTGGGAAAGGCCTAGGAACTATGTGCAGGGCAGGGAGCATTCCTTGCTTGCCCCAGCCCCTGGCTCCTTCCAACCTTACACAGGTGCTCTTTTGACATGTTAACCTCCAGCGCCATTTTCCTGTGCTTCTCTTTCTGCAGCCAGAGGGAAGAAGGAAGGGACAGAGTCAAGAGCAGCTCTTTAAAGGGGCTTAGCCCAGGAGCAGTCTGCCTTGGGATGTTTGCCCCAGGAAAACTTGGCTGGGACACATCGCCAGCTCAGACACTGGCACCAAAGCAGTGTTAGTGCAAATATCAGTCAGACACGGAGTCGAGGTGCAGACGGTTTTACTTGAAGTGGCTGCCCTGGGAGATGCACACTTATTTGGGACTGAGGGCGGGGATTCTGCAGTGAAGAGGGGGCAGTAGCCATGGTGCATAGAGGGCTGGGGAGAGGATATCAAACCGCGCTTTCTTCTTAGGGAGGAGGAGAGGGCAGCAGACTGGGTGTGGAGAGCCAGGGGAGATGGGCCTGGGTCGGGGATGATGGTGGGGGCTGTTTCCCTGTGCAGACACGCAGGAACAGAAGCTGGCGTGTACCTTGTGCACAGCCATGTGCTTATCCCATGCACATGCATCTGAAAACACTGCCTATCCACGCAGAGCTGAGCAATCAGGGGGGCATCAGTGTGGTGTGGGCCTGGGAGCTGGCTTGGCAGGCAGTGGAAGGGGAGCACACACTTATGCCCAGCTTGTGTGGCACATCCAGAAAGGGACCTAAACACTGCTCTTGCCCACAGCCATACACGAGATGCATGCAGGGCAGCCACAAGCACACAGACACGCTCGACCAGCGTAATGTGGCTTTCCGGTGCAGTAGTGGCAAGTGTTCACTGTGCTGAGAACAGTCCCGTCCACATCATGGGCCTGAGGGACAGAAGCAAAGAGGTGCTGGGCTCCTCTTTCCTGCAGGGAGGGCATAGTCCCAAGCAAAAGCAACCTTTACTTTAAGCCTCACACATAAATACAGCTGTAACGTGGAGTGAATCATGACCAGAGAAGCAGATAGTTAGGAACGCAATTGCTCAAGCATGTTCCCTGATCTCTCTGGATTGGGGCCATGGTGATTTTTATGTTTTGCTCCACAAAGCTGGTGTTACCCTCCCCAGCCCTCTCACCAGGTACTTGTGGTATTCCGGAGCTGGCCAGGGCACCCTCCGGTGGTCAGTCCGGCTTGACTATTAGCCAGAATCCATTAGCATCTAATGGGAAAAGCCTCAGGAACACGGCCTCAATAAACGTTGACATATTTGAGGTCAATATAATCCTGAGGAAAATTTGCCCAGGTAATTAAAGCCAGACAAGGAGTTGCCTGTCCCAGAAGTATTTACCAAAGGCAGTAAAATCAAGACAGTTTAATAACCAATCTATGCGGGGCTCCTTTGCTATATCTAATGCTGTGTGCTGCTTCTCACTGTCTGCTCATCCCATGCCTCAGCAAGCCGTGTGCTATGCAAGAACTCATCAGGAGCCACCAGGCAGCCCCGGTCCAGGGAAAGGAGGCTGAAAAGAGGATCTGAAGGCAGCGAAGAACCAGAACTGAACTTACTGTTGAGCCCATGTCATGATCTTTGCAGGTTTGGTGGTGTCAGCTCTAAAAGGTTCCGTTTCTCTCCCTGCTCTGCCCGCTCTCACCCTGCGTGCAGGGAGCCGG